AACACCACCATGTCAACTAGACCATGGCAATACAGTCTGTCCTTAAACATCTACGGGGACGGCGACTCCAAAACCTCCTTGGCCAGTCCATTCTAATCACCCTTCTGTGAAGAAAGCTTCCATAATATCCAACCTAAACCTTCCCTGAGGCAGCTTATGATGTTGGGACACACAGACATACAGGCTCCCATGGCTCCTAAGCATCTTCTCAGAAAAATATTTCCAGTTCAGGAATGCTGATGGCCAAAAAGATACAAAGTTTTAAAGCACGTCAGAAATAGAGGGTGAAAGAGCAGTGTGTGTGAAAACCAGGTGGGATGTGTTCAGTCTGTCCAGGTAGAACTGAATGGGCTTTTGGGGTAGGAACAGCACAGCCTATGTGTCAGTTCATTCTTACCCTATTTGGCATTACTCGCTTCTGATGTACTAAAATGGGAAATTGTACAAACACTCAAGTATTGTTAATAAATATTAATCCCCAGAAATACTGTAAAACAGGGTTTGATGAATGATCAACTAACATAGTTTTGAGGATTTCAGCCTCTTGGGAGATGTAACAAAATAGTGTAATGGCCTCCTTGGATTTTGGAAGACAAACTAACTGAAAATTAGTTACAGCAAAGAGAACAATTACTGCAAGACTGTTAGGATATTTTCTAAGTTCTTCAAAAATAGCTGTGGAGCTGTTCTTTTGAGATATGGTCTCCTTGGTGACTTCCCCAGCTGCACGGGAAGACCCTCAGATAGGTTTGGTGTTTAACCTATGCATCTTATTAACTTGTTTTCTTCTGAAAGTTTTTGTATTTTATTCATTTGTGATGCACCTGCTCACACACACACACATAAGATAACACTGTTGAAGCACAGTCTGTTTATTTCATTGAGATACAAGTAATTTTATCCTGCTCTTGGAGAAACCTGTTCCTTCTCCAAGGAAAGCAGCATGCTTCCAAACCTGCATTTCGGAGCAGAAGGGATGTACAAGCTCTGCTAAAGGCATGTGTGGCTCTGTAAAATCCTCTGAGAAGCTGCTTCTGCAAAGCTCTGTAGAAATGTCAATACAAGCCAGGAAATTATTCTGAAGCAGCAACTGAATGTTCTGCTTACATTTTTTTTTAAATTTAATTTTGCCATTCTTGGTACATGCTGGGTGAGGAACCACATGCTATTGACTGTCTCCTCATTTCACCCAAACTTTCACCCCAGCCAGAGGGCTGACACACTGCAGTGTGCAGAACATGTTTTGGAGCTGTTCTTGCTTTGATTTCTCAGCACTAAGAGCTCTGCATCATTCTGATGCAAACTCATGTGCTTTATTCCTGAAATGTCCTCAGAAGGGGCCAAGAAGTCCCAGGAGCCTAGGAGCTTTTGCCATCACCGTGCTGACCTTCAGAGAAGGATGTCAAAGCACTTTTGAAAAGCATTGAGGAAGGATTCACTGGCCATGTTAGAAGCAAAACAAGGAGCCCAGCCGGAGCATCCCCAGTTCTTTACTAACCACATGAAATGGCTGGTTTTTATTTTGCCCTGTCTGGTTTCCTGTGGGCTGTGCTTCTGATGGAGAGAGGTGTTCCGATGCCTGTGTGAAGGCTGCTTCCTTGGTTCCATCCCCATCCCCATCCCCATCCCTGTCCCTGTCCCCATCCCCATCCCCACACACACAGTTGGGAAGCTGTTCCCCACTTGCCTCCCAGCCTGTCCTATGGATGGGCTGGAAAGAAGGTGAGGAGCAGCCAAGGGGGACCGCTCATGGCCCCAGAAGAGGAGCAGCCAAGCACTGCTCCAGGATGCACCAAAATAGGATATTTCATCAGTAGAACAGCTTCAATCTCCTTATGCCCCAGATGGGCAGGCCCCTGGATGGGGAAAGGAAAATTAAAAGGTCCTTTTGGATGCTTTCACCTCATGGTGAAGCTGGATGAAGGGGTGATGATGGAGAGGAGTGGAGATGTCCCCCTTCTGTCTCCTCAGCTGTGTCTCTGCCACTGACGGCTCCTCAGGGAACATTATTTTACTCAGACAAATGGTGCCGTTGCCTCCACAGCTCCACCAGGGGTAACGCGGGAGCTGTGCCTGAGCGTTCCTTGAACTCCTGGAGATTTGTTTTTAAGGGGAACGCTTATGAATCCACTCGTGTCCCATTTCACAGCGAAAGCCTCGTTCAGCCGCGGTGCCGCCCTCCGCTCAGCGGTGACACGGCCACAGCCGCGCCGCCATCTTCCCGCGGTGCCCGCGGCTGCCGGGGCAGGGCGCCACCTGCGGGCCGCCGGCCGCACCGCCAGGAGCCCGCGCGGGGCGCAAGGGGATCGATGCAGTGAGGGGAAGGGGGGGGGGGGGGGAGTTTGGTGCCATGATGACAAGGGGATCCGGTCCGGGGGGTCGGTGCCATAAGGAGAACCGACCGAGGCGGTGTTGGGTGCCTTGAGAAGAAGAGGGGTCCTGGGGAGGGGGTGTTGATGCGCTGAGGAGTCTGCGGGGTTTTGGTACCATGAGGAGAAGGAGAGGGGTCGGGGAGTGTTGGTGCCTTGAGAAAAGGCGTCCGGAAAGGGTTCGATTCCCTGAGAAGGGGGCTCAGGGAGTGTCCGCTTCCCCTGGTGTGGTGAATGAGGACAAGAAGGCTGGAGACCTCCAGGGCTGAGACCTCCAGGGCCAAGGGGACAGGAAAGGGTCATGGATCCTTTGGGGACAGGGCTGGGTGCTGTGTTTCCTTTGGCCAGCGAGCTGCACCAAAGAGAATCTGACTTCACCATGAGAAAATACAGACTTTCATCCTGGATGGAAACGCCACAAGATCCAGCTGTTTCTGAGAGAACACAGGGAAATGCAAACGGACACAAAAGTAAAAATAATAAACCCAAAATGTGCTGAAGGCTTGGGCCAGGGCTGGGCTGCCCCAGGGGCAGAGGTGGCCCCAGGAACCAGAGAGCAGCTGCCAGTTATGACTTTATTCATTTTCACATTTAGATATTACAACAAAACTCTTAATGACAAAGGATAACAAGTACTATAGGAGAAGAGGAAAGGAAGCAGTGTTCTAACTGGTTTGATATATAACCGTGAACTTCCAGAGACAGGACTCAACGTGAGTTACAATCACTCACATAACACTCACTGGTAGGAAATCTCACGTGCAAATACCCACACACTCACCCACAGCACACTCACACACACACAGACCATGCTTTGTACTCACACATAACCCCTGTTTTAGCCTACTTGCTTCAAAGGCAGCCCACTGAAACACTGAATGCTGCTAGAGCAAACACAGGTACCAGGTTAAAATATTGCAATATAAATGTAGTGTTACTTGATACACAGGTTTTTCTTCAGAGACACACATGTATTTGCAAGTAGGGGACCCCACACTTTGTTTTCAGGAGGAAGGAATGTTCTCTCAACACCAGCACTTTGTAAAGAAAGTGAGACTGAACACAGAGTGGAAGGAGCCATTTTAAAGGAAGGTGATGATGATAAATAGCTTAGCTTCAACGCTGAGTTCCAGTAAGAAGCCCAAACAAAATGAAACAAGAGAGTGCATTTTGAATAGAGCAGGCACAAATATCAAACCCTGGGTTTTAAACATTGAAATACTCCCTTGCTGCTGTGGAAAGAGAGACAACACAAGACATTCTTTCTCACATCTTAAAACCAAAACAGACCAGCTTCACTTCATGCATATCTGGAG